TTATCTTCCGATTAACTTGCTGTTGACATGGGAATTAATTGAGTTATAAAACACAAGTATAATAAATCGGATGATTAACTACATGTTCTGATCCTCGAACTAAAGGGTGGTTGTTACATTTGATAATTTATCTTATATTTTGTCTCGAAAAACCCATTGGAAAGAATTGTATATTCTGTCCATAAAATCTTATAACTTCAAACTCTCAAGGTTTCTAGTTACTTGGTCTCTATCACTGCTTACTTCAAAACACTAATTATAGTTCCCTGTAGATTCGACTCCAGACTTAACCAGATTATTACTACATCTTGACCGCCTGCACTTGGGTGTAGACATATCGGATCAAGTCAAAATGGAGCATGGGAGCTTACCACACTCCCTAGAGGACAATAGGTCATTGAAGTGAAATGGTGTACAAGACAAAGAAAAATGTCAAAGGTGAAGTGGAGGGTACAAAGCAATGTTGGTTGCAAAAGACTATAGTCAAAGACCAGGTATTCACTATGATGAGGTATTTACTCTCGTTGCTCGTTTGGAAATAATTATATTGATTATTTCTTTAGCCATTACCAACAGGGCATTTCTAACTTTAGTTACAAAATAAAAAAAATAAAATTTGAGAAAAAATTAACTACATAAATATAGCAGAAAAACATGATTCAATGATGTAGGCCACAAATCCTTGACCTTATTTGCATGTATAGACACCATAATTTAGCTCAAAGCTTACAACTATCTTGAAAATACCAAAATCATTTATTGAGAAACGAACCTCAGAATAAGGAATAGAATTAATAGCTACAAAACTAAAAAAAGAAAAAAAAATCAAACTCTTAGCAAACTAAGGGCTTGGTTAGTGTCTAAAAAATTGTTTTTTGTTTTTGAGTACAAAAAAAAAAGTGAAAACATGATTGGGTAGATAGTTTTCTAGAATTTTTTTGAAAAACACAGAGAATTAAAGAAGATTTTTAGAGAATAGAAAAAAGTAGTGTTGAGTGTTTTGAAGGCAAAATAGGAAAAACACATAGAACAAGTGGGAACAATTTACACTTAAGTGGGCAGTATAAAAGCCTGCGCTATTTTTTTTTCTCTCTCCCCAACTTTTTTCTCGGTAATACATTTTTCTCTCTCCTCATGGTCAAGGCGACTCCAACTGTTGTTTAGACAACCTCGACGACTAATCCATCTTCGGCGAAATATGGTTGACTGAGAAGGCGTCATCTGCAGCTGTTGTTCCAGATCTTTTCTTCGGCAATTGATACTCGAGTGAAACCTTCTCAACAGATCTGATCTTTTACCATTAAATTTGTTCTAGATCTGTCACGCCCCAATTTTCATTAAAGCATGATTTAATAAAAAAATGACATTTACTCAAATTCTCTTGCCAGTTTACAATAATAATTGAATAAAATGACACATTTGGTTTTATCAAAATATTTTTTTTTTCAAAAAATTTGACAAAGTTTCTTTTGAAAATCGGGCTTCCAACCAGCTAATAAGAGCATCCCTATGAGAGCATAACATTATTTAAACTAACCAAATATCCACAACATGCCTCCATAAAAAACATAATTCAACTAAATTCGGGGTGGCAATTAGAGGCCCACAAAGTCCTCACAAACCCAAATACATTCAATACAAATATACACCACAACTTAATACACAAAGTCATAACTTTACATTACAATACCTAAAATAATAATTCTTGTATGGGGTGATCAAGTGTACACCACAAATGTCTCAAGGCTACCTTTCCAAACATAATGTTTGTGTGCTAATATTTCTACATAAGTTCTAAAGGTAAATATAAAAAGACTTCAAAAGAGATTCTTCCTAGTCTAGGCTCCCACAAGCATTCTGTCACCTATGCCCCAAAATGTACGTTAGTCTCTGAAAATATTAGTAAGGGATGCACAACCACAACTCAGTAGGATAATTCTTTTCCTAAGTATTTACAAAGTTTTAAATACCAACATTCCACAAACCATACGAATAAGTAATGAAAGCTTTCTATAATTAAATATAAGTATAAGATAATAAATAATACATTTATAAAAATCTTCCAACACCTCATCATTAGAAATATACAAGGTTTAAATTAAAGGTTTATATATTTAAAGTCAAACTATCATAGTAAATACCATGTATGTCTCGCATACGGATAATATAATTAATCACACCGGTTCACGTATAAATCATCCCCAGGGATTTTTTGGGTCTTGCACCCTTAGGTCTTATCACCCTTCTTGCTTTTCAAGGTGAATGTATAAGGCACAATTTGTGACGCCACATAAGCTATCAGCGAAAATTACTACCATAACCAATCTCCCTTATGATTAGTAGTTGTCTTGGCAACCCATTCAATATGTCCCAACCGCCAACTAACCTTGCTTGTCAATATCAAACATACATTTTTCAAAAATTATTTTTTCTATATCCATAAATCATTTTGAAAACACATATCATAACCTTGATATTTTATCAAACATGTAGTAGACTCAAATCTCAAAATTTATATTTTCAAAGCAACACAATCATTTCCAAAAGAATAAGTCATATATATTATGTACAAGATCATAGCATACTTCAAAACTCTCAAATCATAGGTTTAGTCAAATATTCATAACTAAAATCAAATTAGGGTTTCAAACCCAGAACACTAAAAATCATTTTCATTTTCAAGAGAACAAGTCATATATATTATGTACAAGATCATAGCATACTTCAAAACTCACAAATCATAGGTTTAATCAAATACCCATACCTAAAATCAAACTAGGGTTTCAAACTCAAAACACTAAAATCATTTTTATGCATGTAGGTTCCTAAGCATACTCAACACTAAATCAAAGTTTATAACAAATATTTTGCATTAAACACATAGTAAGCTTTAGCTAAGGAAAATAAATGAGATGCACAATGTAAATGCAAGAGAGAGGAAAACACCACCTAAAAATCAAGAATTCCAAGTCAAGTTCCTTATATTCTCATATAAAGTCCAAGCTTTAGAGGCCTTCTTTTTCCATTTTCTCTTTTCCTTGATCTTCTCCTAGGGTTCTAAGAAATATTGGGTGAGAGTGAAATGAAATAATGGGAGAAATGGGGCTGAAATTTGGGTTTTAAACCCAACAGTCCCGAATTTTACTATTTATGGGACAAAAATAAAATAAAAATTTCTCCGAAATTATGATTTTGCCACTAAACATCTTCAATTTGATTCATATGGTTACCTTAAGGTTTTTTGACATTTTGGATTCATTTTTAATATTATCTTAACCCAAAAATATTTAGGTTTATGATTTATCTCAAAACTAAAGTCATTTTACACCTGAAATACTAATATTATTATTTTATTCATCTGAACTGCTATATGAACTAAACGTCTATTCTAAAATTTTCGGACCTCCCAGATTCAATGGTAATATTATTTTGACCTAAAAAAATTAATATATTTACTTAGTTGCCCTTATCAAACTTAAACACCTCCAAAAATTATATTTTACCCAAAAGTCAATACGCGTCATACCTCAAACTTGCACGACTATTCTTTTAATAACGATTCGAAGTTTCTATTGTCATTTTAATCATTTTAAAAAAACTAACAACTTAATATCATTTATATTTATATAGCACACGGGATCTCACAAGATCTGATCTTCTATTAAATTTGTCCCAAATCTAGTAAGATAATGTTAGATCTATTGTGTTCGATTTTTTTAAACATTTTTTACAGATATGTTGTGTTCGAATTTTTAAAGTTCCGATGTGTGATAATGTGGATTGTTGTGTGTGGAGTTTGATCTTATATTTTTTTTTTTTTATCTTGGATTTTGTGTGCTATTGGTTGAAAAAAGAGTCTAATTTTTTTTTTTTTGAAGCTGTGATCCTCTTGAATCTATTAATCTAAGCTTCGGATTTGTGTAGATCTGCTGATCTTGCTATTGGTGGGTTCTTGGACCTCACCTTTTGCATTTGAATAAAACCTACTATTTTTCCCTTCAATTGTTAGTTTCAGATTTTTATAGGTTTTCAAATTTGAATATAATCTACTATTCGCTATTATTCAATTTAATTAGATGATTTCGAGTTGGATCCGAAGATGACAACAGGTTTCGAGTGTTCTAGGGATTACTGTAACATGGGTTCCAGCAGACCTTGACTAAGATAAGAGAGATGCCAAGGTAGAGAATCTAATCACACATACAAATCATATATTTTTGTATCAAATTGAATGGTGGTTTGGAATTTTATAACACCATTGTGATTGTGTTAATGGTTTCTGAAACACGGCCAGGCCAGTGCACTTAGACTGTGTTCACATGATATAGCTTAATCCAATTGTGTTCATATGTTTCTCTTGTACAAACTAGTGCACTTTGACTGTTAGAATCCGTAGGTGTGGAAAAGGGTCCACAACCCAATTCAAATGCATTGTCATATTGTTGAACATTATTACTTGACTTCGTTTACAGTGAGGAGGCTTTGTATTTTTTTTGTTACATTTGATAGCTTGATATGCTCATTCAATATGCTGTTGCAGCAAAAAAGACTTGGTAGTTTGTACTGAAGGCTAAAGGGTTTCTCCTGCATATGAAACATTGCACTTTGCTATTTGGAGGCGTGGAGCAGTGGAGGGATTGTAGAGAACTAATATGGAAATGACAATTTATGAAGATGGAGTGTAAAACATGAGTAAATTTGTGCATCTATATCTAAAACCTGTAAATGTAATTGACTAATTGTCAGCGTGATGTTAGTTTTTATCAAGTTTAATATATTGAAATATTTTCATGTGAAACAGTCGATCCAAACATCATTTCAAACTAGCAACCTAACTGTCCCCACCCCTGAAGCAGCAATTTCTACAATTCTGTAAGCAGTACAGGATCGAGTTTTGGCCCCAGATCTGATAATCATTCCCGTCAAGCAGCATCATGAAACATGAACATTAAAAGAATCTATAACAAACATCGACTTAGAACAACTGTCAATGAGATCATACCAGGGGAAAAACTGAGAACGTGGAAAAGCAATATATCTAATGTGATTGAAAACATGTTCTCACTGATATATAATTTAAAATGCTCACTTCAGTACTGCTTGTGATTGGAAACAGAAACTATCAATGGCAAATAGATTTGACTTGCAACCAAGAAGTTTTAGACTATATCTCCAAAAAAAGTAAAGTAGGTTGTTCATCAAAAGTTTACTCGCTCAAGAAAATGGCTGTAGGATTCCCCGGGGAGGGCGGGTTTTGCTTCAAGAGCGAGGCATGAGGGCCAGCTTTCATAACAGCATTAGAATCCGCCACGGACAAAATTTCCACCTGTTCAAGACCTAGCTGTCGTTTTATCAACTCTGAGTTCTCCTCTAGGACCTCGATTTCACCAAAAGGCAACTTTAAATCCAAGGCTTGAACCCCAACAGTAATCACTTCATCTTTCTTGAACCTCAAGAAAGGCATACAGAGTTTCTGGATCTGCTTGAAATTGCCTTCCCGCCCTATTTCACCCTGCTGCAGTGCTTCCAGGATCTCTTGGTCCGGTGCAAATGTGTGGGTCTTGCTGTTGAACTTGCTTTGGAGTATGTTCAAACATTCTTTTTTCCATCCATCATACTGCTCGTTCACAAATATTAGGCCAACTCTAGGCTTGTTTAGATTACTTGACACATTTATATTGCCTTTCTTTAAACCAGAGATCTGCTTTTGGAGAAGCTTCCTCATTGAGACAATCGAGCCTTGCAAATATTCATTAGCTTTTTTAAGGGTAAGATCAGGCATAGAAGCTTCAGGCCATCCCGCTTTAATGATATACCCATCCTTTTTCAAAAGCTCCTTCCAAACATACTCGGCATAATGAGGGCAAATTGGAGAAATAAGCCGTGTTTGAACATCCATAAACCACCACAGCAGATCATGGTTCATGCCACCTGAGCTACAAGAAAACCTATACTCATCCCTGGCAGCTTGCAAGTCATAGAACCCTGTCTTGAGAGCCTCCCGAAACAAACACTCATTGTAGTTTTTCTCTGTCATCTTGACTGCAATGTTAATCTCATTGGCAAATACATGATCAGCGTAAGTCGAAGGAGGACCACTTCTTAAAGATGACTCTGCAGCAATGACCTCCTGCATCCAGGTTAGCTCTTTCGTGAGCCGCAGGATTGCAGCATTAGCTGTCTCAAAAACAAAGTTGGCGTCATCCATGCCATCACCTGCATCAGCAAGAGAAAATCTTGTGGCGTCTGCTGAGAATTCTTCAACAGCTTGGCGAATTGTCCTAAAATTCCCTGTTGACTTGGACATCTTCTCAGAATTGAGCATTATGTGCCCATTGCATCTAAAACCCCGAGGCCAATGGTGTTTGGGCATGAGGGCTGTGTGGTTATAGATGCAAAATGTGAGATGGTTCTGAATCAGATCCTTACCAGAAACCCGGAGATCAAATGGATACCAATAATCAAATTCCTGTTTCATCTGTTTGAGAAGAGAAGAAGATATATCTGATGACTCTGGGTATGATCCACCGCAGAATAAGAAATCCCAGACCTCATCTGTCAACTGTTCCGGTCTTACAGAAGAAGTGTCAGAGCCATACATATCTCCTTTCTGCAACAGATGACATACGGTATAGTATGCCATATAAAGAGTGGAATCTGACAAAGACTCAACCAAAAAATCCTCATCCCAAGGAATACGAGTCCCAAGCCCAAAATTACGAGAACAGGCCCATTGATTAAGCCAGCTCAATGTGTGCTCAAAGCCATGCCGTGTCTCATCACAGAAGAGATTCATGCTGGCCAGGCATTCCTCTGCAACCTTCTTCCAATCGGGTTCCCCATAAGTGATATACCACTGATCAGTCAAAGCCACAACACACTCGTCCCCCGATCTAGACATGACCTTCTTCTCAGGTTCGCAGTAAACAACCGCTTGCCCAAGCTCTAAAAGCTTAGTCTTTATCAAACTCTTAGCCTCCTGCACTTTCATTCCAGCATACTCTCCAACAAGCATGGTACCAAGATAGAAACCACCCTTGTAAACTTCTTTCTTGGCCTTATCAAGCTTATCCCTCTCATTCTGACTCTTGATCTTCATCTCTTTGCAAATCTTCTCAGCAGACTTATCTCCATAATCAGGGTGGTTGATGATAGGTATGATATCAAAGGGCAAGACCCACTCATCCTTTACACCGAACTTGGCCCTGAAAGCTGGTTTTGATTTCAAATCCTGCAGAGCCATGTAATCATCGGGAGAATCACTGGGCACACTGGTAACAATCCCAGTACCCTTGTCAGTGAGTACAGACAACATAGGTAGCGAGTATATAATCTCATTATATGCCAAAGGAGATCTCAGAGGCAAACCAATCAGATCCTGACCAGTCAGCTCAACTAAACAAGTCAGCTTTTCTGGGACATGTGATAACCCCTGATATGCAAGATTTAGTGCTGCCCTCTCGGTTAAGATATACACCTCAGTCTCGTTGATCTGAAAAGCTCCATACTTCCCTTCTGGCAATACCCATGAATTTGTTTGACCATACATAGTTTCTGGCCTCAATGTAGCTGCTGCAAGATAAACTTTCTTGGCTTCCAGAACACCTAACTTCAGAGGAAAAGGAGGGACAACCTCCATTTTGATCAGAGTGTACTCCTGTGGAATAACACCTTCACCTGAGGCTCGATCATGATCTGCACAAGGCTGGCCATCCAAAGGAGAATAGATAGTGTATCTCAAGTCCTTAACAATCTTCCCTATTGCTTTCAACTTCCTCATCTGCCACCGAACAAACGAATCAAAAAATCGGTTCATATCAGTAGTTATAAATGTGCGCCTCCAATCACAACCCAACCCAAAAGCCTTCAAATCTTCAACTGCCAAAGGAGGAAAATAAGTCAGCCAATAATATGGGTCCTGGAACTTGGAAATTTCCTCATCAGACAGGCCATAACTCCGCATTATCTCCCACTGGTACTTGTCACCACCAGACTTTGCCGCTACTTTTGATTTCTTACCCTTAAATTTATCCGGTGGACCCTGGTTTCCTTCAGTTTCTGCCCTGGTCTAGGTTCTGAATCATTACTATCCTCCTCATTAACAATCGGAAACACTGGTGGAAAACCGAATTTTTCAATCTCACGTTTGAGCTTATCTGCCGAGGCCTTGATGGGCATTCCAGTACAATGAAAAGCAAAAGGTAACAATACATTTGCACCACATAATCGCTTATATGCTGCAGCAAATTCCAATTTGGACAGAGAGAATGCATGACCCAAGTGAAGATAACCATTCATATAAGGGAACGGAAAATTTCCAAAGAATTTTTCACCAGGTTTCGGAGGTTCAACTTTGGAATCAGCCCTGAACACATCACCATCTTCCCACCATTTCTGGACCTGAGACTGAATTTTCAAAAGCCAATATCTCCGGGCAAAGCTCTTCCCACTCTCATCAGCCATTTCCTTACAACAACAAAAACTGTACAACTATCATAAAAAAAAAGCAATCAAAAGTTCATAGACCAACATGGGTCTAAACAAACCCAAGTAAAAACCAGTCAAATTTTCCACTTATTTTCTTGATAATTGACAAGAATTTGCTAAAAATATGAACATAATAGAGAAAGTAAGCGACCCAGAGAAATGAAAAAGAAAGAACCAAGTAAAAGGGTTTCAAGATCATACCTTCGATTGGAGTTGAACTGGCAAATAACTCGCCTTGAAACCACAGGATGTAGATAGCGTCGCAAGGTGTTAGACGCCACAGTGAGACTGAAAAGAAAAGAGATAAGAGGGGAGAACACGCTAGGGATTTTTAGTTTAGGCACACAAAATTCTGCGTTTGCTCCATAGTTTTAAAACCCGCCCCCAACATGAACCCGGGGACTGAGTGAATGGGTCTCTGGTCGGACCCGTAATGTAATAAAAATAATTATAAATAAGCTAAAAAATACAATAATTATGAAAATAACATCAAAAGTGTATCCAATGCATTCAATTTCTAATTCAACTTGTAAAGTTTAGAGAAAAATGTCTAATCTGTAACCATCGAGTCAGTGTATAAATCATTGAATTATTCAATGTTTAAATTCGAACAAGAGCTTCCATCCATGTATAAATCATTGACTTATTAAAGATTCAAGCGTCATTGATTTCAAACCCTTAATTGCCTCCTCTTTCAGCATTTTATTCGCTTCCTAGGATATAAATTTCTACACCCACCAAAACCCAGTTCATTACAACCCAAATATTAACTTACGACACATACAAATACTATAAACTTTCAGAGAGAGAGAGAGAGAGAGAGAGAGAGAGAGAAATCGTGTAGCCGAGAGTCAGACTAGAGACTGAGTAGATAGACCGAAAGAGAGGGCGAGAGAACGAGAGAGAGTTTATACCTGCTGTTGTCAATGGTAGTCGTCGAACCCTCGATGGAAGCTCTGAAGCGACCTTCTTGTTCGAAGCAGGCGCAGTGGGTGGGAAAGGCTTAAAAGGATTTAGGGCAAAATGCCTAAAAGGGTAAAAAGCCAGCCTTTTATACTAATTAGCAATTAATATATTTAATTAATAATATTTTTATAAATAATTTTGAGTTATATTTATAATTAAATTAAACAATAAATTATATTTTAAATAATTAATTTTTGTTAAAATTATTATTAAATTCAATTATTGATTTATTTTACCTCTTTGTTAATACGTATTAAGTCACTCTTTTAGGTGTCTCTCCGATTTTTTCAGATATTTTCTCTTTTATTTAAAATAATGGATCTCCATTCTCAAATATTAATTCTTGAGTATATGTCCATCTAATTATAATCTTAATTGATTATATTATTTTTCAAAATATTAATTAAATTGTAATATTATTGTTTGTATTATAATATTATTACATATGTTTGACTGCAAAATCCAATCTATTGACAACATGTGTATAATAATAGAATATAAATTATACTTTACTTCTTTACATAAATATAGGTGTAGGTATAAAAAATTGGATATAAGTGTACCACTAACAAATGAGACTAAAAGAATTTAGAAGTTAAATACTGCTAATAAAAAAATTTAAAAGAATTTAAAAGTATAGAAAATAAAAATTGAATGAAAGCAAATATGTGGATATAATTGACTTATAATAATAATCAATACAAATTTCATTGATACTCCTCTAGATTGGCCTAATTACAGAGACATTCCCTACAGTTTATGAAATATCACTGCATACCCTTGTAGTTTATCACGACTTTTACTTAACACCCCTCTAGTCACTGTCATTATTGACATCTAACAGAATAACTCATGTCATGGTTTTTTTTTTTTTTTTTTGTAGTTAAATACCAAATTTATCCTCAAGTTGACTTTTCAATTTATTAATCAAATTCACATTTAATTTCATCAATTCAAATATAAATTTCATCACACTCTTTTGAAAGTGTCAATTGAATGAAGGAAATCAAGCATCAAAGCTATATCATATATATTTCGTATACACCTTCATATTTAAGACAAGATAATGACTTAGATACCTAAGATTGTCCATTGGTTTAATAAATTTAGGAGGACTAATGTTAAAATAGAATCGTAATTAATTCTTGTATGGCTCCTACGTGATTTTCAAGAAAAGATTTTGTAAACTATTTTGTGTTTTGAAAATATAGTTTGACTTATTAGTGGATCCTTTTTTAGCAACACCTTTAGTGTTTAAGATGACAAGTTTTTTGCTTGATTTTAGGCTTAAAAATCTAGTAGGAACTGTCCTATGCCCATTAGCCTTCCCTAGAGAAGACTTTGTATGACTTAAGCAAGAAAAAATGAAAATGCCAAAAAATAGGAGATTAGGGGTGTAGATAAATTTTTTTCTAAAATATATCATGGTCAATTTAATAAAATTGTATTCTAATTAAGGCTTTTAATCTGAGAGAGATGTGAGTGAAGATTCAAAAAATAGACAGGGTATCCTTACAAATATGATAAACTAAAAAAGATGTGACTAAAATTTTTTCATAAAATATATTAGTAACCTCCAACTCCCTAAGTGTTTAGAAAACGCACAAAGGAGAAAAAAAAAGATATTGAAAAAAGACAATTTGCAAAATATTATCCAATCTGGTGGAGCAAACTAGAAAAAAAAAGTTCAACGTTCAAACTCAAGCTCAAGTTGTATTCGCATGATTAATTTGGAAAATTAGTAGAGATATGCAAGAACAAAGGATTTTTATTGGAAGCACTTTTCTAATTAATTTTGGGAGCTTCTATAGTAAACAAAATATATAATTGTGATCAATCAAAAATATTGCAAAGTTGGGATATTTATTATAGCAAAATCTACCTTGTGCCTATTCCGACCCTTCCAATGATTAAATTTTTTTTATAATGCTCCTATCGTTAATTTTTGCCTAATTTTTCACGACAAATCAAAGTAAAATTAAAGTTTGACAATGATACGAGACGTGGTATTTTCCGATTCAACTAGGAGTTATCCCATTTTTGCTCTGATGTACCATGAACAATTGGACATGAATTTACGACTGGGCAATAGGAAACCCAAATCCATAGTTTAATGTGCAATTTGAAAGAGCATATAGTTTAGGGGTGATATAAAGTGAGGAACATAATTTAAGGGGTCTAAATATAATTTTCACTTAAATTTACCTCCCAAGATAAAGTTTTACTCTTGGGGAATCTGAACAAATGCACATCCCACACAACAAAGGAAGATTTATTCGAAAGAAACATTGGTGTTGGAGGAATAAATGCAAAGCAAAAGAATTTCTAACCCACTTTTTCATGATTTGTAAACTATCGTGGTGGTATAGAGGCGGGCTGAACTTCAGCCAAAGAAACCAACAGAAATTTCTCTAGTGGTTTCAAAACTAGCTCAACTATGCCCTAGACAAGGAAATAGTTAGATCAGTGGCTATCTTGTGGCCAAAAATAAAATCCAATTCGATACTGCGGACTTCATCCCTTCAAAAGCAGCCAAGCTATCAAGCTATCTATAGTTCGATCAGTGGTTATCAAGCTATCTATAGTTCTTAGTCGTATGTAGAAGTGGTACATGGGCGAGAGTGGCCGGTTAATATCGGTTTAGTGTAGACAATTCATTTTCAAACTTCTTAATAAAGGGTTAAAACAGATTGCTTTATAAGAAATTGAATTAAGTTCATCATATCAAAATACAATGCCACCACCATACTTAGCACAATCACCACAACTGATGCAGAACAAGTGGATGCTGATTATTTGGAGTAGGAAGAAAGCCGTGTGTCCAAGGTTCAAACAAAAGCAAAAAGATGATAGTAGAGGTAAAATGACCTGGACTCAGAATTAATCGAAACTAGTGATGTTTGATCTAGATTGGGCCAACGATCAAGACTCATCACTTCGCCATGAGCTCCTTCAATTTTGAGTCGAATTCTATCATTTAGGCCCTCAAAACTCCGTTTTTGCCATTTTAGGAAGAATTCAAAAATTAATAATAAATTATAAGAGATTTCAAATTCAGTGCCATCAGTTGGGTTGGATTTCAGACGACATGTACTTTTATGTTAATTAGTTAGATTGTAATTTTTCATTTTTGTTAATTTTTGTATAATTAGAGATTTTACCTTTATTATGGGGACGATTATGGTTTTGACCGTTCCAATATATATTCTCTTATGTAATATGGATTTTTCGTTGCATAATAAAACTTTTTCAAAGTTATTCTCTTGTTAATTTTTCTGTAGATTCAAAGTACCATTTGTTTTATGCACTTAGAATCGTAGTGTTTTTGGTGTTTCTTTGTTCCGCTACATCAATTGGTATCAGAGCCTTGACTAACCTGGTGTGATGGCCAATCAACGTGATGTTAACCAGGGGTGGGCACTGACTTCAACTTCAGTTAGAGTAAATTTTACCCTCTGAATCCGACTCTACAATACATTACCTCCGCCTCCGCCAATCAGAGTCGAAACAGAATTTCAAAAATTGGCATTATCCACAAAAAAATAAAAAACCAAACAACGTACATAAATTTTACAATGTAAACACACTTACATAAAACTTCAATCGAATGTAACAACCATATAAATATAAACACATATAACATAAACACACACACACACACACACACACACACACACACACATATATATAGAGAGAAAGTTATTGTCTGAGACTAAGAGAACTTCGTCGGAGATGAGACCATCGTTGGAGTTGCTTCATTGCGATCTCAGATTTGCGGATCTACGATTGAAAATGATCGACTAAGAGGGAGAGAGATGGAGGGTTAGGCTGTCCGAGAGAGAGAGAAGAAGGAGGGGCTTGCTAGTGCTGTGTCAACTGTGATTATGTCTAAGTGTGATAGTGAGAGAGAGATAAAAGGGGGGTGATTTAGCGGGTGGCGGGGGGTGTAGTGTTTATAATTGGGCTTAAATTTTTGGTGGGTTTGGCTTAGATTTTTAGATTTATAATACTCTATAACGTAGTTTATAATTTATATAAATTATTAATTAATAAAAGTCAGAGACGGAGTTGGATTTTTGTATTCTTGCACACCCCTAGTGCTAACAATCTTCTTGATGATGGTGATCATGTTGAAGGGGTTCTTTCGAGAGCCGAATTCTTGGACTTCTAGTGACAACAACAACAAAAATCCCAACAATTCCAGCAATCTTTGCAAGCACTATAGGACATGGTAGCCCAGTTGACGATGGGTTCAAACTAGGATTCAGATTGAGAAAGGGTGAACGGCGATAGGGCTCGTGTTCAATCCAATAAAGATTGAAATCATGTCTATCCAACAAGACAAAACGTATGTGGTGTTCCTCCTAGAGCAGTACCCATTTTAGATTCCAATGATGACAAAGATGATTTCCTAGATAACGTTGCAGAATATAGAGATCCTGGCCATGATTCAAAAGACTTTTAGAAAAGGGTTGACCTACCTAATTTCAATGGACATCTTCATATTGAAGATTTCCTTGACAAGTTGGCAGAGATGGAGAGATTCTTCGACTATATGGATATTCCACAAGTGAAGAAGGTGGAGTTGGTGGCATACAAATTAAAAAAGAGGGGTTTCTGCCTGGTGGGAGCAAATCCAACTTGCTCGTACTAGGGAAGGCACGCATTTGATCTGTGCCTAGTTAATGATGATGATGATGATGTTGCTTAGATTGAGGTTTTTACCTCCAGATTACGAGTAGATCCTATTCCTATAGCATCAAGATTGCAAGCGGGGCAATAGACCGGTCCAAGTATATACAGAGGAATTTTAGAGACTTTCTTCTTGCAACAATCTAATTGAGACCGAGTCCCAAAAGATCCCTTGGTTCATTGGGAGTTTGCATTTTTCCATTTAGGATAGAGTTTCTTTACAGACTCTAATCCACCTAGTCACAAGGGTGGAAACATAGTTAACAAGGTAAGGGTCCAAGTGTAGAATCAAAGTTCTTTTGATCCATCGCATCCTATAGTGAACCGAGGAAAACAGGTT